GGCTTGTGAGAGAATCTATTCGACAACAATAAAAATTAGTAGGATAGGTATCTTTTCGTCCAAAATACCCCAATGCCTGAAGACGAAAGTCTACAATCAATGTGTGTTACCCGTGATAACTTATGGCTCGGAAACTTGGCCTTTTACTATAGGCCTTATACAGAAGCTCAAAGTTGCACAGCGTGCTATGGAGAGGGCTATGCTTGGTGTTTCTTTGCGAGATCGAATCAGAAATGAGGAAATCCGTAAACGAACTAAAGTCGCTGACATAGCCCGACGGATTAGCAAGCTGAAGTGGCAATGGGCAGGGCACATAGTACGCAGAACTGACGGCCGATGGGGCAGCAAGGTTCTGGAATGGAGGCCGCGTACCGGAAGGCGCAGTGTGGACGTCCACCTACAAGGTGGAATGACGACATCGTAAAGGTAGCAGGGAAGCGCTGGACGCAGGCCGCTACCAATCGATCAACGTGGAAAGCATTAGGGGAGGCCTATGTTTAGCAGTGGACGACGTATGGCTGACATGATGATGATGATGAGGATAGGTATTTGACAGACAGGGTCTCAGTCGATTGACGTACTTTTTAAGAACTGTCAAATCGTGATTCCCAGATTTTGGTGTGCGACGTCACTAATTCATGTATACAATTGATTGTAATAATATATTGATTTCACAGCTATAAATTTTACATCAAACTGAAAAATAAATCGGTTTTCAGAAATAAAATTACTTTTGACGTGATTTTTAATGAAGTTGTGTGCGGATTTCTAGTCTAGTAGAACAGTAATCCTCACATAAACCGCTTCTCTTAACTAAATTTAATGGCCTTTGCACTGGAGGGAAGTCGAACCTTACCTTTAAACTCCTATGTTCTTCTGATTAATTTCGTTGCGAGTCCAATGACAGTTTAACTTTCCCCCGGGACAAACTTGGCCTTCACTGGTTGGGTTATTGGCGGTCAAGCTGTAGATCCTGGCTACACAGGAGTTGCAGCGGTGGGTATACATATAGTCCCGTTTTACCACAGGCCTACAAAGGTTTAATACTGATATCATTTTTTCACCCAATCCATTTATTCTACCTTATTTTAGACTTTTAATTCGAACTAACTCATTACATAACAAATTCACAATGGCGGTCCGTGTCCAACCGCCTCAGTTCCGCTGTAGATTCATGATCTATAGTGATCAATAGATCCTCGATTCACTTTCGGCAGTCATGGCCAAGGCTACTACGCTTAGTTTTGTTATAGTTATATAATCGTTTGCTATTGTTAAATCGAAGTATGGTTTACAGTCAGGTGGAAGGATTATTCTATATTATATAGAAGATTGTCTACAAGAGGCATAGATTATTATAATTATTAAGCTTTTAATAAGGCGACAAATCTTGCAAAGAAATACATATAGCTTAAAAATACACATAGATTGACTCGAAAAACATACCTTCTGCCACAGTCGGTTAAAAAGCGCTTTTACACGTCCCAGTATAACTTTAACTCTACCATTGCTTTGGGAATCGGGAGAATAATGTTGGCTAGTCACTTGTCAGCATTTTTTTATCGTGTAAAACAACTGATGCGAGTTAGGCTGTTGTTTTTTATCTAAATATACTTAACACTATTATCTATACTAATATTATAAAGAGGTAAAGTTTGTGTGTTTGTATAAATATTTGTTAAATTGTAAGGGGTAATCTCGGGATCTACTGAACCGATTTTAAAAATTCTTTCATCAATAGAAAGCCACATTATTGCTGAGTGTCATAGGTTATATAAAAAACCGAAAAATTCAAGCCGCGGGCGGAAAGCTATTATAATTTTATAAAGACTGAGATACCTATTATGAGACTAATAACCTTGTCATTATTTGTGTGCACATTTTTTAAGTTATTTAAGGCAACCAGCTACTTATTTAAGTCTTGCAACCTAAAAATATATATCCATTTATACCTCGGACATATGCGAGCTCGGTCTAGCGTGAAGGGCAGTCGACACAAAATGGCCGACTTTTTTTGGCGCGAAAACAATCACAATATGACCACCGGACGAAATTTGCAACGGGCAAATCGATTTTGTGGCGGGGTGTGAGTATTTTGCACATTTTTTGCAGCAGCAAAACTTTGTTGTTGTTAAAAAGGTTTTAAATAATGTGTACCTAATTTTAGGTACTTAGAATCTGGAAAAAGACAATTGAATGAAAGAAGTTTATTTAATGACAAATTAAGCTGACCCGGCAAGCTTCATACAGTCTATGTTCCAGTGTTGCCAGTCGGGTCTTGTCAGAAATTACCAGAAATATAAAAAAATGTAACCTTTTTGAATAAAAAGTAACCTTCATACGGGCGGGAGCAAAAATGAATACAATTGATCATCAATCAATCTATCTATCTTTTACCTAATTTCGAAATTTTAACCATTCCATGAAGACCGAAAAGTGACCGGTCGTAAAACGTTTCCTGGATTTGTGTTTTATTATCGAAAAACATTCGCTAAAACTCATTTTTTTTAACAAATAATAAATCAAATTCATATTTAAATGCAATTTATTACATAATTTTTAAATTGTCACTATTAATATTTTTTACTGAATAACCTGTAAAAGTTAATTCTGCAATTTCTGAAAAATCACCTAAAAGTAACCTTTTCATTAGTGTAACCTAAAAGTAACCAATGCAGTTCAAAAGTAACCTAAAAGGTTACAAAAGTAACCTTCTGGCAACACTGCTATGTTCATTAGAAATTTAGGATCCTAATGGTAAAAAAAAATTTCAAAGCCTATTTAATACAAACAATAAAATCTTTTTAAAACAATAAAATAATGGAATAGATTTATAAACGTTTGAACCCTGCCTTGATTCTGTCCTGTGTCTAAATATTGAAATGCAACCGAACTAAAGCTCAATCTCACTCTGTGCTTTAAATTAAACCGAGTCTTATGCCCGTTTTCACCATCAATCCCTAATATTAAAGTAACCCCTACATACCAGGAATTTTATTTTCAAATGGGTCACTTAAAAATTATGTATTAATGGTGAAAACGGGCATTAATCTTCGTTCTGTAATAAGCACCAGTTTATATGGACTGGCCATATTTCCTTTGATCTAAAAAACTGTAATAAACTGATAATAATGTGTGACTTCTTGCTCGATTAGGTACTTAGGTAATTTAATTTTTGCAATTAAGCTTTTAAAAAACGCTTTTACATCTACCTAAAGAAGGTAGCTGACAGCGCGGCTAGATTAAAAAACATCTGCAAATGGTTGTGGTGATCCTTCCTTACATCTATTACGCCCGTATACACAAACGATACTTGCATAAGTGAAGCAGCAAATTGAACGCACAGCGTTGAATAGAGCTCTGTGATTAGTTTGTGTGTGACCCTGTGCGTCCACGCGCACTGTGAGACCTCATAGTAATGTTTTTGAATATGGGCTGAAAGCTACCTACTAGCTTATTATGACTTTGTCAACAATATTTCTGTCGGTCAAATATACCACTATTGTCTTGCAATTCTTTCAGCAAAGCTGTTATAAATCCCAACCTAAAAGTCTAAGAAACCGACAATAACGTAATAAATTAATTTTTCTAACCCTAAACTCCCTTGGGTGCTACACCGTGCAAAAGCAGCAGTCTGAAAGACCGCAGGAATAAATCATCTTTTGGTCAGTGAAAAAAAATAACCCTTTAGTTGCCGCCGTACTAATCTCTTTAACTTTGAAAGGGTCTGTGAGGCCCAATTAGGAACAGTAGCCGGCGGTTGACTGTGAGACACTGTAATACTGATTGACAGGCCTTCTTTGTACTAGTTTAAGTACAGTTAGTTTTAGTGGTCTGTGGTAGAAATGAAATGCGTAAAACAAAGATATTATCATCAGAATTCTGTCATATTTCAAGGTTTCAATTGTCATTTAGGTGTGTATTGAAAAAAAAAACTAGCTTTTGTAAAATTATTTCTGCGGCAGTAAGCTTTTAAAGTCTTAACGCGATCAGAATACTTTTGCCTTTCAAAAAGCATAACACCTTAACTACTTATTTGATCATGAAAAAATGATTCTGTTGCACGCTGATATGGTATGATGTAGCTGAAAAATATTTTATCAATTGTGTGATTGTGTGATCTATATGCACTACAAAACATAATCAACATATGTAAGATTGTAGTTATATTCGCCTGTAATTTAGTATTCTACTAATAAAAATAAAACATAATTCGAATGCTAAAATAATACCCACCACGTTGTTAAAAATCAAAACAGTTAACTTGACATAACTGGACTGACTGCACAAAAAAATAGATCGCGCCCCATTTTTTAATCCGAAATTCTTCCTGCTTATCGGCAGCACTTTATCTAATCGAAATATTAACACTTTAACTCAAACTTGTCAAAAAGGGTCCAACTGTCCATTGACCACCAGTGGCAGTGGTTACACTATTGTGCCTCAAACAATGGGTCTTAAAAGGTAATCCTTTTGTGGTCTGTAAGACCCCGGCGACAGATTTTTTGTATTCAAAATCCATAACGGTAGTGGCAGGGTTGGTATTGTTTTGATTTTATTTAAATAGATTGCCAATGCAGGTTGTATTGTTAAATTTGATGCTGGAGCTTGACGTCGATGTCGTTATACATTGCGAGTTTAACTGCTAGATAACGGGATAGTAAGCTATGATTGTTTAACGGTAATATTTATTGATAAACTAATAATTAACTGGTACACATTAAGATTATAGCCAGTGCTAGTGAGGTTGAGGAATTGCGGGAAAAGCTTGCTTCTTTCTATAGTCTGGTCGCCGAGCACGTAGAATTTTGTCCAGTGACCCCAAGCTACCCATCCTTATCGCTCGCGCGTAATTATGGAGCTGTCGCGACTGTGCGACGGGCGTCCGCAGTGAGTGTGCGACCTTTGACCTGATTATCAGATGAATAATACAGACCTTCCATTAGTAGATAAAAAATGAAATTTGTAGAAACTTTTTGACATTGCCTTTTTTCCCTCAGGCGAGTACCTGATCCAAGGCGAGCTACCCCGTGAGCTTGAGTCGCTCGAGGAGTCCCGCTTCGACCTCTTGGAGGAGGCGCTCCAGCTCGTCGAGCTAGGAGACGAGGCCGAGACCAAGGATGAGCAGTCTGAGGTGAGCTATATGAGCTAGCTCGCGAGCTACCACGAGCTACCCAGGTGTAGCTCGTCGAGTTAGGCGACGAGGCCGAGACCAAGGATGAGCAGTCTGAGGTGAGCTATGAGCTATCCGCAAGCTACCATGAGCTACCCCGTGAGCTTGAGTCGCTCGAGGAGTCCCGCTTCGACCTCTTGGAGGAGGCGCTCCAGCTCGTCGAGCTAGGAGACGAGGCCGAGACCAAGGATGAGCAGTCTGAGGTGAGCTATATGAGCTAGCTCGCGAGCTACCACGAGCTACCCAGGTGTAGCTCGTCGAGTTAGGCGACGAGGCCGAGACCAAGGATGAGCAGTCTGAGGTGAGCTATATGAGCTACCGTGAGCTATCCCGTGAGCTTCGACCTCTTGGAGGAGGCACTCCAGCTCGTCGAGCTAGGAGACGAGGCCGAGACCAAGGATGAGCAGTCTGAGGTGAGCTATGAGCTACCATGAGCTAGCTCGCGAGCTACCATGAGTTACCCCGCTCCAGCTCGTCGAGCTAGGCGACGAGGCCGAGACCAAGGATGAGCAGTCTGAAGTGAGCTTTATGAGCTAGCTCGCGAGTTACTATGAGATACCATGCGAGCTATCATGAGCTACCCCGCTGCAACTCGTCGAGCTAGGCGACGAGGCGGAGACCAAGACTGAGCAGTCTGAGGTGAGCTATGAGCTACCTTGAGAGCTAACGCGTGAGCTCGCGGCGCTCGAGGAGTCCCGCTTTGTCCTGTTTGAGAAGCCGCTGCAGCTCGTTGAGCTATGACCTCGAGCTACCACGAGCGTGTGGCTACAGAAAACAATTTCCTATTCTTCCTGTTGATTCCAAAAAGGCGTTTAAAATATTCAGTTTAGTTGCCGTAGTGTTAAAAGTAGCCTCTAAGATCTTACAGGCTCGATTAGGTATTTGATTTTGTAACGGATTATTGACGTTAACTGTCATTCAGCTAGATTCGATTCGAACCAGCGTTCCTCGGACTTCGAGTCTGCCAGTCCGTCACTTTCACCTTTCGACCATAAATTAGGCTATTATCGCTTCGAGTTTTAGTTGATGATGATGATGTTAATGATGATGATTGTCAACAGGCGGTAGAGGGCAGCAGCGGCGGGGAGATGTTGCATCCGGCGATGCGGCATGTGCCGCACCACCCGCTAGCGCACTACCATAACCAGGTCAGTGCCTTTATGTTAGCGCGACTTAAACGACATACAGCGCCATCTGTTATCGACAATCCTGAAACTTGTAAGAAAGCGATGCCTTGGTTTTTGGTGGCGCGCTTTGCGAACTACCATAACCAGGTAATTGTAAGCGCGTTTTAAAAGACGCACAGCGCCATCTGTTATCAGCAATCTGAAATGTTTTTTGTGCAGCGCGACTTAAACTAAATTTTTAGACAAGCTGTGGTGTTGTATGGATAATAATAATTGAAAAAAAAAATGTTTAATACCAATATTTTACCTTTTTAGAACGATAAATATAAATAAACTTTAACTTAAAAATGTGTACTAGACTACAATCATAATAGTAAACTAATGATATTAAAAATAATCTGCGATTTCATATTCGATCTGCAATACTTCATAATCATATAAAACTTCAAAAATAGGAAAGTTTAAGAAATCCTTAAACTCTATCAAACCACAACATTATAAAATCACATACAAATATTTGACACCATCACCTGTACAGCCCTCAACACTAACAAATATATCTTCACCCTTATTCCCTCATCATAAGAGCTGAAACTAGACGCATCTCCGCTTACGAATCAGGGTCTGACTGTCAAAGTCGAAGTGACGTTTTTACAGACACGTGATAAATGATATAATGTCGCGGGTTCAGAACCCACACACGACGTCGTTTGTGGGACAAGTGCTAAAATTAAAGGCATATTCATCCACTAAACTCATTAAACTTATTTATAAATAGGCTTTTAAAAAGCACTTTTATACCCAGTATTAACCCTACCACTGCTTCGGGACAATAAATGGGCCAGTGCTGAGAAGAAGCAGCGCAAGAAACTGTCACTATTTTAAATGAAATTGTCTTTTATTTATTTATTTATCACATATTATATGGTATTATATGTTAATTATATTTATTTATATTATACTAGCTGACCCGGCGAACTTTGTTCCGCCTTAATGGCAATAAATAAGCAGACTTTTTTTTTAATTTCGAACGGGATAAAAAGTATCCTATGTCCTTCTCCTGGCTCTAAACTACCTCCCTGACAATTTTCAGCTAAATCGGTTCAGCCGTTCTTGAGTTATAAGCGAAGTAACTAACACGACTTTCTTTTATATATATAGATGTTTGTATGTATCTGTATATATGTATGTATGTATGTATATGTATGTGTGTATGTAGGTATATGTATCTTAAATATTATATCAATTAAAAATTTAACTTAAATTTTAACTTCTACCCTTCTACCTCTACCTTCGCACTCACAGCTTTCTGCATAACCCAGGGGTCGACTGGCTGAGAATGCTTAAATAGCATTAAGTCCACCTTTTGTACTATTTTATTGTGCAATAAAGTTTTATAATAATTATAATAATAATAATAATAAATTTAGACAAAAATTTGGCACGTTTTAAAGTCAAAATAAATAATAAAAAAATGTATCTCTTAAGGCCCCAAAAAAAAATTAAATAAAAAGCTAATGTTCAGTTCAGTTCACAAGTTACTGAAAACTGGATCTGAAAATATGTATTCAGTAGAAAGCCACATTATTCCTGAGTACATAGAAATTCATACCTACTAGTATTTTTTTAATCCACCTGGTTGAAGCCACGCATATTATAATGAAGTTTGGTCAAACGTTTTTATCAGCCTCTAATTCTTCATTGAAATAAATTACTTAAACCTATTTACTTATTCGATCACTATCACTAATCAGGGAGTTGGCCAATTCTCAAAGCTTTTAATTCGGTAGTTTATCACCAGCCTTCTAAGGTTGGGTTGGACCATCTTTAACTTTTGTCCTAACTTACCCTAATAGTCCGATTTGACCACTTAAAAGCTCTTTAAAGCTCTTTTATTAATCTACTAAACGACAAATACTTAATATCGATATTAATAAGATATATCACCAGTCTCTCATCACTTAGACCACCCACCACAAAACCATAGCGCCTTTCATTAATCAAACATTAATGTTAAGACAAATTGGAAGTTTTTATTGTTTTGCTACTGTTAAATGATGTCTGATGCTTACCGACAGTTTAGGTGGTAAAATCTAAATTTAATTAGTACTTACTAGTTTTAGAAAGAGGCGAGTTCTTCTCATCATTCATCATCATCATTTCAGCTACAAAACGTAACGTATAGATCGTTTCATCCACGAAGACGCGCCCCACCAATGTCTGGTCTCGGTCGCGCGGGGTGCGGGGAGTTTGATCCGAGCAATCCGCCGAGTGGCATTATTGTAGTGTGCGTGTGCGCTCATGGATCATTTAGCGTGTACCGATAACACTCAAACATTAGCGGAAAAATGGTGGGGCGCGTCTTCGTGAATGAAACGATCATATAAACGCCTCGCCTCGCGGCGAAAGGTGATACGTAGTTGTTCCTTTTCCGGATTGTAGAGTGTGCTATAACCTTAAACCGCCTCTGTGGTCTAGTGGTAAGACCACCTGCTTCAGACGCAGAGGTCCCGGGTTCGATTCCCAGTGGGGGCAGATTTTTCTGTTCGGTTTGGTTGGTGTTAGGGCTTGTTCTAAGTCCACCTGGCTAGCTACCACCATCTTACTCGTACTTAAGTCTGTCGCCATAACAACAATGTTAACAGCATTGTTGTGTTCCGGCAGTTAGAGGTAAGATAGCCAGTTCCTCCGTGGTCGAGGATTCCGGGTGAAGCTCGCTTCCACCTTTGGCCTGATCATCACTTACCATCAGGAGAGATACAGGCCAAGAGCTTCCTCGTTGTGGATAAAAAAATGGGATTGTGCAAAACCTGTTCTAGCAAAATGGGAAAAAGCCCTTAGGCTAGGTTGAACCTAGCTTTGACTATAACAAACGTCACAAGTCTGTCAAACTCCATACAAAAAGCACCGGTTATGGTTATAGTTACGGTTAAATAAAGTAGTGCAACTCAGCATTAAGCTTTGCTTAGTTTGGGACTACAAAAGATAGGTTTCGTAAGAGGCGACGAAGGGACAAAATATGCGAACATCAGGCCTCCCCAACCCGTCTGGCCAGCGTGGGGAGTGTAGGACAAATCCTCCATTTGCCTCTGGTACATTAGAGGGCCGTGCTCCTTCAGTGGAGACTAAATGACCTGACGATAGTGTATCTTATACAGGGTGTCCCAGAACGGGTGAATCAAACTGATAGGGGAGGTAGCTCTACTAATGTACTATCCCTAAAAATACGAAAAAAAAAGCGCATAAGAAAACAAAACTCTTTTTTAAATGAAAATAAATCGGCTTTGCCTAAGTATCTGGCTATAATTGCTGCGTTTGGAGTTTATTTGTACTTTTTTCTTACTAATATTATATTAATTGTACATGATCGCTTCGTTTATCTGTAAACAAAATTTTGAAAATAATAACCAGATTTCGAGATTAGAGTACTTTATTTAAAAAAAAATCCGAACTCAAAATTTTTATTTTTTATTTTTTTAGGATAGTACATTAGTAGAGCTCCTCTAGCAGTTTGATTCACCCATTCTGGGACACCCTGTATAATTTTTGTGTTACTTTGCAATAATAATTTGGTCTGATGAGCAGACGACTTTACGATTGCATCGAACGCCGCGAATTCCGATGTTACGATCATTAATCGATGTCTGAACGGTCCAATCGATTGACATGATCGATTCATATCGATACTGTCACAGCTTATTACAATTTGGTTATTTTAATTGGAAAAATGTACTTGGAAATGAAAGTTTATTACGTAATGTGTTCAATGTATTACATATTTACTAGCTTTTACAAACGGCTTCGCCTGCGTTAACTCATTTTCTCACAGACTGCAAAGTTTCATCAAAATCAGTTCAGCAGTTTTTGCGTGAAAGAATAACAAACATCCATACATTTAAAAGTAATTTATTATTGCAAGTAGGCTTTCAAAAAGCACTTTTACACGTCCCAGTATTAACCCTACCACTGCTTTAGGACAATAAATGGGCCAGTGCTGAGAAGAAGCAGCGCAATATTTTTTTTTTCTTTTACGAAAAAATTTTTTTCCTTTCTGATTTTTTCCCTTAATCTCGTTGGAACGTGGGGTTATTTGTTTAAGGGAAGAATTTTAATAATTCTCAAACATTTACACCTGATCGTGGCACGAATACGGTAGCTGGGAACGACATTTTTTTGACATTTTGAGATAGTGATGTACCGAGTTTAGTTAGGATTTTTTACCACTTTCGGGTTATTTATAGGAGGTTAAATAATATTCAGGACATTCAGTTGTTGAACTTGATTTAGAAATAAGATTACCATTTAAAAAGTTTGTTTACTACGTTGGTCGATGTTATAATCTACGAGTATGACCTGAGACAATACTGTTATTTTTTCAAGATAATATAATTTACACCCTTAATGCCCGAACTATTTTTGATTGCTTTTAACTCTCAAGGATAGAATATCTAATAAACATTTATTACAAACATTTGGCATCATTATGTCCAACATTATTACATTATGTGTAACATGTCCAAGGATATTTATTTATTATACCTACGTTTGACTCGGCTTTCTTCCTCTGTATTCGTATCCATTATTGTCCTGCAGTGGTAGGTTTAAATTTATATTGGCACGTGTAGCTCTTTTAACAAGCATAGTGCAAAATATAATTCACTTTAGATTTATAATAAAACCACAAAGTTATTCAAAAAGCACACCGTCCCATCACTAAATAAGTAAACATAATTTTTCGCTCAAAACTAAAGTGTATCACAGACCTGTCTCCACTGTTTGCTTAGGGCTTCGTATACGTCAATCGATGAGACATTTTTTACTCTGTGACTCATGGGGAACATTTGAAGTGTGTCTTTTTTGACGTCTGCTAAAAGGAGTCTTTTAGTCGAGGCTTAGGTATAGTCCCACGATAAGTGGCAAAAATCAAAAAGTAACAATCCAGTATTGATAGTAGCGCCCTCCGGCAAATGTCATTATATGGTTTTCCGACGTGGCAAAAATCGGAACTAATAATTCAGCTT